AGCCTCAGTTGGCCTGGAACTCATTATGTAGACCAAGTTGGCCTCGAACTCATACAGATCCTCTGCCTCTGCCTCCCAAGTGCTAGGATTAAAGGCATGCACCACCATCCCCACCTTCCATGCTAACTCTTAAATCTACTTTAATCAGGAGTGCATCTGCACCACACTGACAGCTCTTCTCAAGGTCACCAGTGACCTCTGCTGTGAAGCCAAATGGTCATTCCTCAGTTCTTTTTTTCTTTTTTAAAAAATTTTATGTGTATGTGTGTATCGCCTGCATGTAGGTAAGTGCACCCGTGTTGTGCAATGCCAGAGGAGGACAGAAGAGGCTGTAGGATCCCCTGGAACTTGAATTATGGACAGTTTTTAGCTGCCATGTGGGTGCTGGGATTCGAACCTGGGTCTTCTGCAAGAACAGCCAGTGTTCTTAACTGTTGAGCCATATCTCCAGCCCCTCCTCAGTTCTTATTTAGGCAACATCAGGCAGAGTGAGCAAGGCTCTCTTCCTGCCTTCTCTGCTGGGTCCAGGGTACCATTCTCTTGGGTCTTAGACTTTACTGTCTTTTTTAAATCTTCTCTTCTGGACTGCAAATGACTTTGGATTAGTTCTTGACAACTTTTCTGGCTATCCCTACTCCTTATATGAGCTTATCTATTCCATTGGTCTTAAACCCCATTTTCATCTGGGTAGTTCCAGAAGTTTTATCTCTAATTCTAATTCCTCCACTAAACCCCAACTGCTTTCTCCACTATTTTATAATATGCAGAACAAACTTCAGACCTAACTCAGCTAAACATAATGCAAATGCCCCATACCTTCAGGCCTTGTTCAGCCCTTAGTCTCTATCCTAGCCCTTCAGCAAATGGCAGCTATTTTCTTCCAGTGCCTCAGATGTCAACACTGGGAATAATCTTGGACTCTTTCAGACCACACATTTAACACTCTGCATATACTGTTATCACACTGCCTTTCTACTATGTCTAGAATCTGAACACTTCTCACTACTTCCAGTGCCATACTCTATTCTAAGCCACCACTGCATCTTCCCTGGACTAATCACATTGGTCTTAAAGCTTCCAACCTTGCCTGTCCTCCAACCCTGGCACCCCCCCCTTATTTTATTTTATTTTATTTTATTTTTTTTGGTCTTTTTGAGACAGGGTCTCCCTGTAGCCCCAGCTGTCCTGGAACTCACTATGTAGACCAAGCTGGCCTTGAACTCACAGAGATCCACCTGCCTCTGCCTCCCAAGTGCTGGGACTACAGGCATGTGCCACCATGCCCAGCCCCCCAACCCCTTAAATTACAATTAGATAATGCCATACTTCTAAGACCTTCTAAGCCTTGGAATCTCATTCGCTGACCATGATCCAAAGTCCTTAGCAGGCTACAAGGCCCTGGAAGACTTGATTCCTACTACTTCTCTGATTTCCTGACTCTCTTCTCTCTCACTTCAGTCTACAGATGCTGATTTGATCTATTCTTTGACATCCACAGCCCACTCCTCTCCAGGGCTCCTGTACTGTCTTTTCTGCCTTGTTTTCTTCCCTAGGCATCTGTATGTCTATTTCTCTCTCTTCCTTCAGACTTCTGCCACAATTTTACTGTATTTAAAAAGTTTTTCCTGGGGCTGGAGAGATGGTTCAACTGTCAAGAACACTGGCTGCTCTTGCAGAGGACACAGGTTTGGTTCCCTGCATGTCTGTGGTGGCAAACAACTGTCCATAATTCCATTTCCAGGGGGATCTAATGTCCTTTTCTGGCCTCCATGGGTATGCTTCCATACATGCAGGCAAAACACTCACACACATAAAATAAAATATTAGAAAGTTTTCCCTAAATATTCCTTCAAAAATAACTTCCCTCTGTCACTTGCTACTTGTCTTGCCTCACTTTTCTTCCTAACAATGATCAAAAGTCCACATTTTTTTTACTTATTTGTTTCTATGTTGCAATGTAAGAACTGAGTCTTTGTGTATTTAGTCTCTGTTGTATTCCAAGTTCCTAGGGGAGTCTGATACTCAGTAGGCACTCAATAAATGTACATTGAATGGGTGGATTTGTTGAATGGCCTCATCCAGGCTTCCTTCTAGCCACTGGGTGGAGGGTGTTTTTCAGTGATTGCCAGGTTAATATGATCAGAGATAAATCAGAGGAACAGTGAGGACAGGGATACCACCTGATGAAGGGTCCACTTGTAAGCAGTGACCACCATGAGATTCACAGTCTCAGTTTGCGCAATTATTCCAAATCACTCACTGAGCTATAAGGTGGACCAAGACATCTGCCTTCAACTGCTTTTGTGTCACTTATCCGCAGAGACTCAGTGTGCTCATATGCGAAATGAGCAGTTGGAGACATAGGTCCTTTGGCAATTTATGTTCTGTAAGGTACTGGAGAGAGGCAGTTAGGAGGGCTGGCCACACACAGGGCCTCTAGAACTTGACTGACTTTACTTATTAATTATTTAACATTTTATTTGTATGAGTGTTTTTTCTGCATGTATCTAAATGTACCATGTGCATGTAATTCTTGTAGAGGCCAGAAAATGGCATCAGATCCCCTGGAATTGGAGTTATAGACTGTTGTTGGCCACCATGTGGGTGCTGGGAACCAAGTCCAGGTCCTCTTTAGAGCAGCCAGTGCTCTTAATTGCTCAGGCATCTCTCCAGCCCCATGATTGCCCATGCTGAAATCCTTCTCATGGGTGAACTTGGGCATCTTACTCTGCTTCCTTATTTGCAAAGTTGGAGTAATAAAAAGATGAAAATATTATGTAATTTGGGCTAAGGAGATGACTCAGTGTGTAAAGCATTTGGTGTGTAAGTGTGACAACCTGAGTTCAAATCCCCAAGATTCATGTAAGAAAGTGGAATGTGGTAGTACATTCCTGCAATCCCAGTGCTCATATGGTGAGTTGGGAGGCAGATATGGGCTAACTAGCCTGGCATACTCAGTGGCAAGTAAGAGACCCTGCATCAAAGTAGAAGACAAGGACCAACACCCAGGGTTGTCCTCTGACCACTCCACAGGTGCTGTGACATGCATGCCCTGACACACACATGAACTCACCACACACACACACACACACACACACACACATACACACGGAGGGAGGGAGAACGTTTAAAAAGAACATGTTATAGCCAGGCGTGGTGGCGCACACCTTTAATCCCAGCACTTGGAAGGCAGAGGCAGGCGGATCTCTGTGAGTTCAAGGCCAGTCTAGTCTACATAGTTCCAGGACAGATGGGGCTACAGGAAGACCCTGTCTCAAAAAGTCAAAAAAAAAAAAAACAAAAAAAAACCACATGTTATTCAGTGGTTGTGAGGATTGCAAAATACATGTTCAGTGTGGCGCATATGGTCTGGCTCATAGTAAGTGCTCAATAAATGTTAGCTATTAAGAATGGAAAGTTTGGGGGAGGGGAGAGAATTGCTCTCTGTGTCTTTGGAGGAAAACAAATTACCCTAAGATAGTAGATACTATGGAATTTTAAAAGACATGCCAATATTGTGGTTAGGTAGGAAGATGTGCTTATTCTTAGAGGATGCATGCTGAAGAACTTAAGTATAAAACCATAGTATCTGTCACTTTCTAATAACCTAGTGAAATATGTACCTGTTCAAAGCAAAACAAATGTGGTAAATATTAAGTTGGATAGTATAGTTTATTGCACTATTCTCTCAACTTCTGGATGCTTGGAAATTTTGAAATAAAAACTTGAAGGAGCTGGGCATGGTGGTGCACGCCTTTAATCTCAGCACTTTCGAGGCAGAGGCAGGTGGATCTTTGTGAGTTCGAGGCCAGCCTGGTCTACATAGTGAGTTCTAGGACAGCTGGAGCTACAAGGAGACCCTGTCTCAAAAAAAAAAAAAAAAAAAAAAAAAGAAAACCAAAACCAAAAACAACAGCAACAACAAAAAACAAAAACTTGAAGGAAAAAGAAAGGACCCTAGATATAGGCTTTTCTGCAGAAAGAGGACCATGAGTTCAGAAAGTGAAACAGTCACCCAAGGTTGGAGTCTTGGGAAGCCTGGGCCAGAGCCAGGTCTCCTGGCTTCTGTATCTCCCTTGTGTGTGACTGATGCAGCCAGGCTGCTGAGGAGCATACCCAGCTCCCCTCAGAGACAGACCCAGGGGTATTATGGGTTTGTACAAGGACACCTGTGTTGGGTTTCCTTTCTGTTTATTAAGCAAATAGGCTATTTAATTGGAAGGTCCGATGCCAGACAGAACCATGAGGGCAGCCCCGGCCAGATTACCACCTTGGAAAGTGGGCATACTGGTTTGGTGCCCGTGGTTTCTGAGTGGTGGCGGTAATAGGGTAATGCAGAAGTATGTGTAAACTCTGGGATGGCAAAGGAGCGGGGAAGGGTGAGGGGTACGGGCCAGGGACAGAGGAGTATAGGTGAAACTGCTTCCATCTGGAGCCGCTGAAAAGAGGGACCCCAGGGTAAAGCAGGGGATGAAATGTGTGAACATATTTAAATGAGAAGAGTCTCTGTGGTCTGCAGCATCTTCCTTTAGCTAATGGAGTTCAAGGAAGTGGAAAGAGGTGCGAGGACGGAGTATCCATAGAAGCTGGGACAGTGCTGGAGAGAACGCTGAGATGAATCAGGAAAGAGGAAGCCTGGGGCAGGGTGGGGGAAGGGTTAGAGCCGGGTGTAGGGAGTGTTCGGAAAGTAAAGCGGTGCACCTGGCGGCCTGTGTGAGCCACTCGGGACTATCAGCCCACACAGGCTGGAGTGCCTTGCGGAAGAGCAGACCTGCCTCTCTCCGCCTCTGGAACTCCCAGGAGGCCGCAGTATAGCGCAGAGCTCCTGGCGCTCTGGCTGGGGGAGGGCAGGCGGGAGAGGCGGGGCTCGGGGCGGGGCGGGGCGGCGGCGAGCCGGTGGCCGCGGGCGGGGCTCCTCTCCGGCGGGCCCCAGAGTCTGGGGGCCGCGGCTTCCCCCTCCCCGCCCGCGGAGGCTTCTAGCCCCTCCTTCCCCCGCCGCCCCCGTGCCCGCCACTGCCGCTGTCAAAGATAAACCCGGCCATTGCCTGCAGGAGCCGTGGCAGCGGGCGATCCGGCCGTGAGGAGCCTCGGGCGCGGCCTCGCCTCCCGGGTCCGGCTCCCGCATCAGCACCGCGGACAGCACCGCGCCCCTCTTTGGGACCCCGCAGCCCTTCTGCCCGCGTCGATCGCATCAGCACCGCGGACAGCGCCCCGGCCCTGCTCTCCTCCGCCAGCCCACCCGCCCTCGGAATCAGCACCGCGGACAGCCCACCCCTGCAGGCTAGGCGGCAGTATCGGAAGGGTCGGCGCCCCCTGAACATGGCCACCGAGGTAGGGGCCAGTACCCCAGCCCGCAGGCAGTGCCGTCTGCCGCTGTGGGAACGATTCCCCGCTAGGGGCAGACTGAGAGCGAGGGGAAGGCGGGGGCGGGGTGGGGGTGGGGGGTAGTTCCCCCCGTTGATTGCGGAGGGGAGGTGGGGTGGAGTGGCAGAGTGGAAGAGCAGGGCTTTTGGTCAGTGCTCCTTTCACCCCTGGAGTATCAGTGTTGCCCATGCCACCCTGAGTCGTGGATCGTCCACTTGTTGGCAATAGCGCCAGGTCTCAGCCTAGGCTGGGCTTTCCCCTTATCTGGAACTGCAGATTCTGATTCCCTAGAGGACTGGAGATTCCCTGCTTGCCCGAGTAAGGGGAGGGAAGTGGCCTGCTGCTGTTGCTATGCAGTGCAGCTATCCTGCTTCTGAACCCAAAAGCTTGGCTAAGGAAGACAGACTTGCCTCTACATCTGCATTTCCTTGGGAGGAGGGTGGGGACAAAGACATTCTCAGCCCAGAACCAAAGGGTTGGTTTTAATGAACTTCCTGCACCACCCCTACTTTAGAGAGTCACCATTTCTTGCTCTCCCACCTCATTTGAGTGGTCCCAGAGTTGTCCACATTTGCTTGTGTGTGTGGTGGGGCTGCCTTCTTCAGGGTGTACCTATGGGCCAAGGGACTTGGTAGCTAAGGAATAATCTTGATGAAATGCTTAAGCGATCAGGATTTATACCCCTGCCCTTAGGGATTCCCCCTCTCCCTCATCTTGTGCTGGACATGGGAATTCTTTAGGTCTCTACTTTCTAAGTGGTAAAGCTGACATATGGAAAAAAGGATTGACTTGGTACTCACACAGCATGTCAACAGCAGCTCAAAGTTTCTTTCTTTGAATTTTTGGAGTGGAACTCTGTACATCTAGGTCTCCCCAGTTCTGATGCTGTCTTTATGGTGTCTCCCCATTTCCAGCCTAGCTGGAACACTGCCAAGGAGAAGAGCAAAGGCCTGTGAATGATTCTGTGCAGTACCTCTGGGCATCCTGGTGAGCAGTATGACATCAGTAGCAAGCTCTATTGTCATTATCCCAGAGACTCCTGCTGTTGCTTGGTGTAGTTGGCGTCTAATGAGACACAGGGTTAGATAGGAGGGGCTCTTGTCCCCCTAGAACCCCACGATCAGGCAAGCCCTGGGCAGATCTTGGAGCTGGCCTTCTAGAGAAATGAAGAGTGCTCCAAAAGTGCCACAGAGACCGAGAAAAGCAGGAAGGATTGGCCAAGGAGCTGGTTACCTTCCAGATAGGCCTGCCAGACTGCAGCACTAGCTGCTGTTGGGAAGAAGGGAGAACTTCAGCCAATGGGCACAGTTAGGCCAGCGGTGAGGGCAGGGAAGGTGGCTACCTGTGTGATATGATCTGATAGATTCAGCAGGCCCATCTGTCCTAGCATCTCTTCCCCACAGGTCTCTGTGGCCCGCACATTCCACCCACAAGCTCACACCTCTCGGCTCAGGCCAGGTTTCCAGGAGGCTGCTGTTAGGCATGATGACTCTCCTCTGAGAGAGGCTCTGCTCATAATGCCTCTGTGGATATAGTAGTTTCCTCTGTACAAAGTACCATCACACACAAGAACCCTTTGAGCATTTAAGCAGCCCTATGAAGTGGGCAAGGATGGTGTTATTATCTGCAATTAATAGATGAGACAACTGAGGCTCAGAAGCTTGCCTGAACCTGCTGCAGGAGCCAAAGAAGGCATCATTATTCCATTTTACAGGTGATGCAACTGTAGTGCCAAGACTTAAGAAAATATAGCTGAAAAAGTGGCAGGGTCAGGATAAGAATTCATCTTGCTTCCACAATCATTATCTTTGTTGGTTTTGTATTCAGGGTTGGTGTATCCCAATTGGTGTGATGCTTAATAGAGGAGAGTGCTAGTGGTCTTGACAAGGCTTTGATTGGGGAGAGAGAGAAGGAGGTCAGAAAGAGCTAGAATGTGAGGACTTGTCCCCCTCCTACTGACCTGGCTAGTCAGCTTGAGGGCATAGGTACAGAGGAATGTCCAGGATGGGTGTGCAGCTGAGGACCAACATTTCCACCTCATAGCTTAGCCTGATGGCACTGTTGAAGGAGGAAACTCAGGCTCTGCCAAGGCACAGGATGTGCGATGTCTGGACTGGGGTGAGTCATCCCCCCCAAGGATGTTTTTTTCACTATTAGGATTGAGTTGAGATTACCAGGAAAAACCTGTTGGAGGAAGGAAAACCTCACTCTAAGTTCTCATGGTCATGCCCTTGGTATTCTGAAGAGGAAGGTCAGCTCCAGCAGGAGAGTAAGAAACAGGAAAAGAGAGGCAGGGGGAGGAAGGAGAGTGGAGGAGGAAAGAGAGGGTGGCTCTGGATGGAAGCTGGATCTTTTCTGCTTCCTGATTTCTGTTTGAAAGTTAGCATTAAGGGAGTGGTGTGTGTGAGGAAGAGAGAGGAAGGAGGAAGACTTCTGAGTGATGTGATACACTGACCTCATTTGGAGAACTCTAAGGAGTCCATTTCCTGAGCAGCAGACCTCTGCAAATTTGTCACTAGGAGCAAGATTTGCCTGGGAAACAGATCAAATGGCCAAAGACAGCTGGGAAGTACCTTGTTGCAGAGGCTGGTCCAAGATGTTTAAATGCACCCAAGTAGCATTACCCAAGCAGGGCATTTGGAAACCTGATCTCTGAGTCACTGGTTTGGGCATGCATCCAAGAGTAGGCTGAGAGGAAGGGTGGCTGTGTGCCCAGTTTTCCACCCTTAGGCCCCACCTGGCTGCACAGTCCTCTGCCAGTGCTGCTGCATCAGCTGATGCCATGATTCTTGAGTTGAGACTCACCTACATCCTATGGAATGCTTTTAGTGATGATGACTGTGGACCAGGTAGGATCTCTTGTTTGTTTTGGCCATAGCAGGCCCCAAAAGTCATTGCATTCAAGTGTTTGCCTTCAGCAGCCCAGCCTGGAAACCTGTCAGGTGTACAGGTCCTATGTCACCTGTAGTACCCCACTTCTAGGCTTCCTTTCCTTCCTTGTCACACTGTGGCTTGGAAAATGGTGTCTGTAGATCACACCATTAATTTTTCTCCTTATGAGGTGTCTTTGGTCTTATCCTCAGCTGCCAGTAGGCTGGGGGAATGGGGATGGGAGAGAGGGATAGGGCTGAGGACAGTGACAAGTAGAGGAGTAGCTCAGGTCTCAGAGTCAGTTATGACACCCTGGAGAGATGCTCAGGGGGAGCTGCCCAGGGGAGACACAGAGACCACAGACTCAGAAAAAGGTGTGTGTTTGTCTTGGAATCCTCTTGTAGGATTTGGGAGGATCAGGAATTTCTGTGAAAACTTTTTGCTTCCCAAAGGCTAAGAGGCTGGCCAGTAAGTGGCTTGGGCCTGCCTCTACCACTTGTCTTTATTCTTTAACTGGAGTTAAAGGAGGTAAGTCTTTATCCACAGATGATCCCTATGATCCCTATTTGGCTGCTTAGTACCTGTAAGTTTAGTTTTATTAGAAACATTTAGAAATCAGGATATTTGATATTAAGAAAAATCTGGATTTATGGCTTCCCTTGAAAAATTGGAAAAACCTGAGTGTAAATTCTTCAGTAGCAATGATTGGCTGGCTCCCTGACATAGGCTACAAGCTCTCTCATTAGCCACAGGCCCAACCTAGCCCACTGACTCCTCAGCCTTTGGAAACACTTGTGTTCACCATTCCTGATAAGGCTTTTGCAGTCAGAGATGGGAGGGTTAGTAATTATGGGTTTTAGCTTAGTTCTTTGAAGAAATTGCTGGGGGGTTGGGGGGGGGAGACTTTCCGTGGGTCATATTATCCAGGATCAGGTCTCCTGCTGCCATGCTCAGCAGGCCATCTTTCTGCCAGGGCCTCTCAGCACTTCATAATGGAGCCACTGTGGGTGGAAACATTCAGGAGACCCCACTTAAATCCTGCTCTTCACCAACTGCACAGAAGTCTGTGATGTGTGCTTCATGTAGGTCTGGGATGGGACATCAAGGTTCTGGCATATAAATCGTGTCTCATCTGTGCCTCTACAGACTCATGGCCCAGCATACACTCTCCAGGGGCAGAAGCAGATGTATAGTCACCTGAAGCCAGGACAAGATCTGAGGCTCAGGATATTGTGGGGCTTAGCAGGGTTCTGACTCTCCTACTCCAGAGACTTGAGAATGCATGGATCAAAGCGAAGAGTAAATGGACTGTATTATGCAAGATAGCACCAAGCATCTTTTTAATTTTTAAAATTTTTTATGCGTATGAGTATATTGCTTGCATGTATGTAAGTGCACCCGTGCTATGCAGTGCCCATAGAGGTCAGAAGAGGGCACTGGATCCCCTGGAACTGGAGTTATGGATGGCTGTTAGCTGCCATGTGGGTGCTGGGAATTGAACCTGGGTCCTCTGCAAAAGCAGCTGGTGCTTTTAACTGCTAAGCCATCTCTCCAGTCCCAGTACCCAGCATCTTAATAGCTTAGTACAATGGAAGATTCTGTCCTGCTCAGTATGGTTATGAATGGGAGTATCTGTGATATCAGCAGTCATTCAGGGACCCAGGCCTTTTCCAACTTGCAGTTCCACTGTCTTCAACACCTGGCTCCTCTGGCTTCAGTGGGAGGGAGGAGTGGCAGGTCTTTATGAGTCAAACCTACACATGACATTCATCACTTCCACATTCCACTTCACTCAGGCATGTGTCTGCTCCATACTGCAAAGGAGCCTTGGAATCAACTCCACTGTATTCCTAGGAGGAAGAAGAAATAGCTGGTGAACAGCTAGCTAGTCACTAAGAGGCACACCTTCATGGGTCATGGTAGCACATCTGTGTGTACACATGTGTGTGCACAGGTTCAGTTAAAGGAAGGTGTGTAGGGGAAGAAGCCAAGTCCACGTCAGAATGGCTAAGCCTGGTTTTGCTGTCTTTCCATTCTCACCACCATTTATGGTTTAACCATATTTTGCTTTTATCCTGGACTATGGCAAAAAGAACCTTCCTCCAACGGGCCCCTTACCCAAGTCTTGCCCACTCCCCACAAAACTGCCAGAACGATCCTTCCAGAACTGGAAGAATCCATGACTAGCTCCTGTATGTTGGCTTTGAAAGGGCAGAGAAAGGGCCATAGCTTCTTCCTTTCTTTTGAAAACACATATTAAGGCCATAACCAGACTGAGGAGACACATTAATGATTAACTTAGTTATATTTCCAAAGCATGATTCTTTCTTTTTCTGGTCTTTTTGAGATAGGGTCCTATAGCCCCAGCTGGCCTGGAACTCATTATGTAGGCCAGGCTGGCCTTGAACTCAGAAATCTGCTTGCCTCTGCCTCCCAAGTGCTGGGATTAAAGGTGTGCATGCTTATTTATTAAAAATCACTGCAGAAGTCTAGTATATATCAAAGGGGTACTTTTTCAACAAAAACTTCGATTAGCATAATCAAGAAATATTCAGAATAGAGGGGCATTTATGCTATTTATTCGGTCCCCAAACTTTGGGATCCTGTATCTTTTAAAAAAGTATTTTGTTAAAAAATATTTTATTATTTTTATTTTATGTGTATGAGTGTATTGCCTGCATGTATGTAAGTGGACCTGTGCTGTGCAGTACCTGTGGAGGTCAGAAGTGGGCACTGGGTCTCCTGGAACTGGAGTTACAGATGGTTGTTAGCCTCCATGTGAGTGCTAGGATTTGAATCTGGGTCCTTTGCAAGAGCAGCCAGTAGTCTTAACTGCTGATACATCTCTTACCCAAAGCAAGGTCTTTCTGGGTTTAGGAGAGTCTTAAGCAGTGTTCTTGGATTCCCACCTTTCCAGGACCTTGATACTTCAATCATCTTCTCCTTCTGTCTTATTAAGTGTTCTCTCTCTCTCTCTCTCTCTCTCTCTCTCTCTCTCTCTCTCTCTTTTGGGACAGGGTCTCCCTGTAGCCCTGACTGGCCTGGAACTCACTTTGTAGACCAGGCTGGGCTTGAACTCACAGAGATTGCCTGCCTCTGCCTCTGGGACTAAAGGCATGTGTCACTATGCCTGGCTTCTCTCTTTTTTCTCTCCCTCCTTTTCCTTCAGCTTTTAAGTATTTCCACCTGAAATTCTTCCATCCCAGAGACCCCTCCTGCTCTGTGATCTCACCCTTGCTTGCAGTATGGTATATGCTTATCTCCCACTCTCTGTGTCTATTGTGCAAACCAGCTGTGGTCTTGCTGAGCTCTGCCTCGGGCCACTGGAATAGCTCCTGTTCTCCTGTCTTCCTTACTCCCTTTATGTGGGTCAACCTTTTCCTCCTCTTTCAACTTCTGGCTGGCTTCTACCACTGTTAACCCCTAACCTTCCCTTAGGACTCAACATGGGCTCCAGGAAGCCTTTGTGAATAAGCATTCCTGGGTAAAAGTGACTTTGTTTCGACCATTCATCACAGTCTAATTCATTATATATTTACTTGTCTTCCTCCCTGGAGCTCAGACTATCTCTGCCTCAACATCTTCAGAGCCTGGCACTAGTAGGGACTCAAATAAATGAGAATGGAGTGACTGAACGAATTCAGCTTAATTACACAGGATGAACTGGCCATTTCTTTACTCCGCCCTCAGGGCCTGGTCTCCACGTGGTTCCAATCTTGGGCATATTTCACCAATGGGATGCTTGTCTCCAGTGTGAGTGACTGAAGCTGGAGAGTTGGAAGAAAGAGGTTTTGTTCTTGTGTGGATTGGAGCCCACTCCCCTCAAGTGCTAGGTCAATATCAAATTTGCAAGTTGGATGGAAAGGACACAAATCACCCCATTCCTTCCTAATAGGGAAGGAATTACTTCAACTTCTGGCCTCAGTCCACTTTATCTTCAGTTTTCTCTGGGAAAGCAGATATACCTGGGCTCTTTCTTTCCTGGTGGTAAAAGAATGGATATGAAAACTATTTGTGGCACTCCCTGGGTTGTCATAATACTTGGCCTGATCCTCATTTTCCCTTGGGCACATCAGGATTTCCTCTATCCCCATGTTCCCCTTCCCCAGCCTGGTTGTGAGCTCTATTTGCAGGGCCTAAAGCTTCAGTCTTGGTCAGTGCTGGGTTCCCCAAGCACAGGCTGGTCACTGCTGTGACTAGTTCTTGTTAATTTCTGTTGCTCCCAGAGCCCTGGCTATATAGCCATCCCATCCCTGTGTGCCATGTTTCAGCACTTTGGGAAAGCCCTCTGTGTCAGTACACTGGTTCAATGATCACCTGAGTACCTGCCTCCTCCCCATCTCCTCAGGTCCACAATCTGCAGGAGCTCCGACGAAGCGCATCGCTGGCCACCAAGGTCTTTATCCAGAGAGACTACAGCGATGGCACCATCTGTCAGTTCCAGACCAAATTCCCTCCAGAGTTGGATAGTCGGGTAAGGACACCTTTTTCTAAACTTGAGCCCCATCCCCATGATGGCACTGGGGTCTTATTGGAATATATATATATATATATTATATATCAATATATATTGGAATATGT